CTCAGTTGTGTTAGCGCGGGTTATGTGTATTGATTACACCGAAGTTTATGCAGGAGGTGTATTCGTTTATAGAAAGGCTAGATCGGGTTTAGGGGTATCCCGAATCCCTTCCTACTACCCAGGAAGTCTAGAGGAAAGAGAGTGGCGACCATTGAAATCGATCGGAGTGCCTCCATGGATTTTCTCTCCGATGGTGGTTTTGTGCAGCTTGGTCATGCCTTAGCAACACATGCTATCAGGACAACTTGTACTGTGCAGGGATGCTCCGAGTCTAGTGGGTTCCATCAGTTGCAGTCTGAGGCTTGTGCTATGGTGTATCACACGTGAGAAGCCGACGGCTGTGAATTTGATGGGCCCCGATTGTTCCTCCTGGGGTGTTCCGAACAGGGGCACAAGCCTTAGATCCTTCATCAACTTCCGGGGTCAGGATGGCTTTCCAAGTGTGGCCAAAGCGAACATCATGATCAGCCGGCCTCTATAGCTGCAAGTATGCGAGTGCATCCTGTTTGTTTCGTGGACACTGAAGACATCTGAAGACTTTGCAGTGTGATGTTTCATCTAAGTGTTGTTCTAGCAATACTGGTGATGACGGCTATGCGCACTACATGGGTATTGGAACACCCATCGTGTTCGCTCCTACACAAGCACGACCGCTTCGAATGGCTCCTCAACTCCGTGCTCTACGCAGCTTCGTTATGCAACCTATATAATGCAGTTAGCTTGTTCTTGTTCAACTCCTATTGCTCTAAGGTATACAGCCAAGCCTTCTGGTTGATGCACTGGGGTAGCCCCAGTCCCAAGCGCACCAAGATCTACTCGAATTCACCCCGGGTCAAGACCCTGGACCGTGGTGTACTCAAGAAAAACCTGAAAGCTGCCAAGACGAAAATCCGCACGACTCGATCTTTAGCTGCAAGTATAGCAGGGGAGCCTAGTGAAATAAGTGTTTGCGAGATTGGAAAATCCTGCCCTTTCTGCCAAAGGACGATGGAAGGAAGCCGACGGCGTGGAACGCTTCGCGGGCACGGCCAGCCTGAAGGATGCCGGGTTGCTAGGCATGCATATACAGACAACTAAATTTAAAAACCCTATAATATATCTATATAGCCCTCAACACCTAGAACCCTATAAACCCCAAAACCCTTACAAGGCCTCTACCCTACTGGGCTTATATGTGCAGCCTGGGGTACACAACTTTTGATAAGCTTTTAGGGTTCAGGGTTTTTTAGGGTTTATATAGGGTTTAGAGTTTAGGGTATTCCTGGGTCGTGGGTTTTTTACAGAATGGTCTGAGAAGATGTACTACACACTACTGCTACAAGTTGCTTGACTCATCCTCCTACCACTACTACTACTACTANNGCTGCTGCTGCTGCTACAATACTGCAACATGTATTATTCAATCCCAAGCCTACGGGCTCATCCCGACAAGAACCGGCCTTTATAGGTGGCAGGCTTCAGGGTTTGGGGATTCAGATGTGAAGCCAACATGATCACGACCACCAGGGCTTTGGTCCACCATTGGTCATTGCCCATGACCTCCTTGGGGTCCGGAGTTCACGGCTCTGATCGCCGCTAGGGCGGGCCGGGGTCGTACCGTGTTGTAAGCTCTGTACTTCTCGGACTGGAGCAAGTATTGCATCACTTTGATGCGAGTCGGGTTCAAGCGAAACGAAATCGCTTCCAGTTGCTTCTGCCGACTTTGAGAGCAACTTCTTCAGATGCAGGCCACGAAGTCTCCAGGTGATCCGTTTATTGTCTAGCTACTATGATTCCATAGAAGTCTCTGTAATTCATGATAATGGCTATGATCCCCAGGAATCAGGAAGTCCCTGTAACACCCAATCCACGTAGGTAATATTTTTGGGAGTAGCCCTGAAATACAATGTCTTCCTAGGTCCTATATGAAACCCATAACAGGCCCAACTTCATCTTATACCCACAAGACCAGAAACTAGTCCGAAACAGACAAGCCTTGTTCCCAGACGATTCTGTGAGATCCCCAGGAAGACCTTCCTAAGCCCGCTAGAGTATCAATCATCATTGTCGTTATCGTACTAGCTATATATACAATTAAGGAGAGAGAACATACCATTATCGGATTCTATAATGTCAATCCTACAAACCCTAGAACACAACCGGAGCCTGAATAGGTCCAGAAGCAATAGTGCCCTAAATCCTCAAGTCACGAGACCTTATGTAAATACCCGGCATTATAAACCCTCGATCTTCCTGTCAAATTAAAATTATATATAGAAGCCCCAAACCCTGAACCGATAAAGCCAAGAAACCACAGCCCCTACTTTCAGCACCGGCCCTTTAAGCCCTGCATGAATCCTATACAAGCCCGAGCTAGCTCGAACCCCATGCATAATCCATAAACCCAGCTGCTGAGGGTCTATCCCATGGACTTCGTCAAACAAATCTTCGAGGCTTTCGCTACAGACTGTGTGCCAGAAGCATTGGCCTGCCTACGCAATAAGAACACCACCAGCCCCGAGCTGTCCGATGTGGAGTTGTTTACTGCACTGCCAATGAATGACATGTGGGAGGATGCAGGATTACCTTCGGTTTATTTCTACTTGAGAAAGAACAAGTACCTTATGATACCCTCTTCCTGGGAAAGTGCAATCTGTTCTTTTGACACAGAACTGGATTCCAAGGTGTCTTGGGCTCGATATGGTATTAGTTGAGTCGTCTTTTGATTAGAAACCGAAAAACCTAGAGCTCAAGCAACGACCCGCAAAGGTGAACTGCCATGGGGACCTCAGGGAGGAGTACAATTCCCTACTTATGGGCAGGTCTGGGCAGTGAGAGAAGAAGGCCAACAGGGCTCCAGCCGGTCGTCGCTTTTTGCCAGAAG